TTCTACAGAGGCTACAAATACAGTTTTACATGTAGATGGATCCTACGGTGTGTCCAATCAGAAGGAATTATTTCCATCTCTCTGCAACTAATATTTTAGTGAAACAGATTCCTCTTATCTGTGAATATAAATCAAAGCTGGCAGACATTTCAGAAGCTTCTCCTGGTCCACTGCTGTTTCTAGCCAAAAAGGCTAAAGCTCTTCTTTTAAAATTCAAGGTGAGAACGGCTTGTCTACTTAGATAGCAAAGCTCCATTGGCATCCAGGTGACACCGCTAGCCTAGAAGCTACTCTGTCCTTCCAGATGCTGATTGGTGAATACTGTATATGTCTGAGACTGAATACTGAACACTTATCTGTAATAACATGGAATGAGACAAGATCTACAAATTACATATTTCTACTGATCACATCTTACTGATACAATGATTCTGCTCTTACATTTACGTTACAGTAAATCCCTCGTCAATCATCCAACAATGCAGATCTACATCATAAACCAGTTGCCATCCAGCCAATAGCACAAAGGCGCGTGGCGAGCAGCTGATCCCTCTGGGTGGATGCCATATGGCATCCTTTCAGTCATGCGCAGTTTTCCTGCCCGCAAAGCCGTGCAGCAGCGCAAGCTGTCACCGGCCGTGTACTTCGGCCAGTACCATGTGACCTGCCAGTACCATGTGACCTGCTGTGACCAATCACAGCAGGTCACATGACAGTTGTATACAATGGATGGCTTCCTTTCATACCATCCATTGTATACTAGTGTGTCTAGCTATGAATGGTCACAGTGATCACATGCGCAAACTAGGCCAATCACAGCCCAACTGTGTCATGTGATTAGTTGTGGCCAAATCACAGTTAAGCATAAAAAACCCTGAATGAATCGATTTCATTCAGGTAAATGCTTGCTTATAGCAAAGTAATTCTTTGCTATAAGAAAACTGTGTAAAAAAAATAAATAAATACTGATCACTTCCCCAAAGTAGTACAATGTTACTATGGTAATATTATACTAGCTTGCTCATAGTGAAATATGAAAAAAACATCTTAAAAATAGAGAAAAAAAATTTAATAAAAAATAATTTAAAAAATCATTTTTTTCCCCCATACTATTACCAGTCAGTGTCCCTGATCACCACCATGCCAGTTATATGATGACGCTGTACTGCACTGGTGACAGGATGTAACAAAAATAGTGAAAATCATTTTTTTTATTTCTTCATTTCCGAAAAATTATGACAAAAAAATTACAACTTCAAAAAACTCGCCATGACTGTTATAAAATACCTCAGACTGTCTACTTTTCAAAAAGGGGGTAATTTGGAGGATATCTGTACCGTTCTGACATTTGGGGGGGGATATCTGTACCGTTCTGACATTTGGGGTGGGGGATATCTGTACCGTTCTGACATTTGGGGTGGGGATATCTGTACCGTTCTGACATTTGGGGGGGGGATATCTGTACCGTTCTGACATTTGGGGGGGGGGGATATCTGTACCGTTCTGACATTTTGGGGGGGGGGGGGGATATCTGTACCGTCCTGACATTTGGGGGACGGGGATATCTGTACCGTCCTGACATTTGGGGGACGGGGATATCTGTACCGTCCTGACATTTGGGGGGGGGGGGGATATCTGTACCGTCCTGACATTTGGGGGGGGGATATCTGTACCGTCCTGACATTTGGGGGGGGGGGGATATCTGTACCGTCCTGACATTTGGGGGGGGGGGATATCTGTACCGTCCTGACATTTGGGGGATATCTGTACCGTCCTGACATTTGGGGGATATCTGTACCGTCCTGACATTTGGGGGGGATATCTGTACCGTCCTGACATTTGGGGGGATATCTGTACCGTCCTGACATTTGGGGGGATATCTGTACCGTCCTGACATTTGGGGGGATATCTGTACCGTCCTGACATTTGGGGGGATATCTGTACCGTCCTGACATTTGGGGGGATATCTGTACCGTCCTGACATTTGGGGGGATATCTGTACCGTCCTGACATTTGGGGGATATCTCTGTACCGTCCTGACATTTGGGGGATATCTGTACCGTTCTGACATTTGGGGGATATCTGTACCGTTCTGACATTTGGGGGATATCTGTACCGTTCTGACAGTTGGGGGGATATCTGTACCGTTCTGACAGTTGGGGGGGATATCTGTACCGTTCTGACATTTGGGGGGATATCTGTACCGTTCCTGACAGTTGGGGGGGATATCTGTACCGTTCTGACATTTGGGGGGGATATCTGTACCGTTCTGACAGTTGGGGGGGATATCTGTACCGTTCTGACATTTGGGGGGGATATATGTACCGTTCTGACATTTGGGGGGGATATCTGTACCGTTCTGACATTTGGGGGGGATATCTGTACCGTTCTGACATTTGGGGGGGATATCTGTACCGTTCTGACATTTGGGGGGGATATCTGTACCGTCCTGACATTTGGGGGATATCTGTACCGTCCTGACATTTGGGGGATATCTGTACTGTCCTGACATTTGGGGGATATCTGTACTGTCCTGACATTTGGGGGATATCTGTACTGTCCTGACATTTGGGGGATATCTGTACTGTCCTGACATTTGGGGGATATCTGTACTGTTCTGACATTCTTGGACCTCAAGAAATTAGATTGGCCGTCAGTACTTCAGGATTGATCAATATTCAGATCTATACCATAGTTTGTGAACTCTATAACTTTCCTACAGATAAATAATACATCCTAATTTGGGTTATTTTCACCAAAGACATGTAGCAGAATACATCTCGGCCTAAATGTATGAAGAACAATTATTTATTTGCAAACTTTTATAACAGAAACAAAGAAAAACGTGTTTTTTTTTCAAAATGTTTGGTCTTTTTTTGTTAATTTAGAAAAAAATAAAAACCCCAGCGGTGATTAAATACCACCAAAAGAAAGCTCTAGTTGTGTGAAGAAAATGATAAAATTTTAGTTTGGGTACAATGTTGTATGACCGCGCAATTGTCATTCAAAGTGTGAGCGCGCTGAAACCTGAAAAACTGGCCTGGGCAGGAAGGGGGTAAAAGTGCCCGGTATGGAAGCGGATAATAATGAACAATGCCCAATGAAAAAACACATGCTGACCACCAACACGATCCGTTTCCAGTGACTACTCACCATGATTGACAACTCACAGTGACTAAGGATGGACATGACGGGGGTTACTGGGTGTAAATAGAAAATAACATCTTATTACCTCCTCTGCTGCCACTTCCACCAATGTCTCCTCTATACTTCCTACCACATGGAACTTCCTCTCTATATCTGTCTGTACCTGACATCATTTCCTGTCTTCTATAGAGACTTCCATTTTGGGTATAAGTGAGATCACCACCTTGTGGAGTTCAGAGGAAATGCAATGTGAGTGATCCCTGCTGAACCAGCTGAATTTCCATGGATCTATGGTCACCTTCAGTGACTTCCTCCCCTCCCCCTCATCTCCTTCATGATGGAAGTCATGCTGAGATCATCTCCCATTGGCTGAGCAATATTCTCATTTGTCTCTCAGCTCCTTCTTGCTATTCCTCGTCCTGCCTGTTGTTTCCTTGGATTGATTTTCTGTGTAGTGACCCCGGCTTGGTCTCTTGGATGCGCTCGTCTGTTGCTTGCCCTGACCTGTCTCCTGATTCCTGGATCTCCTCCTCATCTCTCCTCCATATCCTCTTACACAGCTTTTCTCCACACCTGCAGTGACCCTGGGGGGAGGAAACTTGGCACCAGCACGCCGCCAAATCCATCCCCACCATTAGGGGCTCTGGAGACAATTGTCTGCTATTTTACACTCCGTTCCTCCCCACGTCACCTGATCACATGACAGCTTACTTCCACAGATTCCGGACAGATTTCTGGATGGTAAAGGTCAAAGTTCACTCTTCAGTTTAGGAGAGGTAGGACGCACCCAGGAACAAGGATTTGGTTTGTATGGGAGCCTCATATAGAGGACCCCTCAAATCTCCCCATCCAAATGTCCCTCCATCCAGAGTCTATATGTCCTATGACATCACACTGACCTCACGGCTCCTCCTCTCAATGTCCCTTCCATCCAGAGTCAGAGGATCCTATGACATCACACTGACCCACGGCTCCTCCTCCCAATGTCCCTCCATCCAGAGTCAGAGAATCCTATGACATCACACTGACCCCACGGCTCCTCCTCCCAATGTCCCTCCATCCAGAGTCAGAGAATCCTATGACATCACACTGACCTCACGGATCCTCCGCCCAATGTCCCTCCTTCCAGAGTCAGAGAATCCTATGACATCACACTGACCTCACAGCTCCTCCTCCCAATGTCACTCCATCCAGAGTCAGAGAATCCTATGACATCACACTGACCTCAAAGCCCCTCCTCCCAATGTCCCTCCATCCAGAGTCAGAGAATCCTATGACATCACACTGACCTCACGGCTCCTCTCCTCCAAATGATCCCCATCCATCCAGAGTCAGAGAATCCTATGACATCACACCGACCTCACGGCTCCTCCTCCCAATGTCCCTCCATCCAGAGTCAGAGAATCCTATGACTGTCTCTGTGCTGCAGACACAATTTATGTATCATTATTTCTTCACTCTCTGACTAAGGTCCATGAATAAAAGAAATGACCTGGTAGGAGATCAGAGGAACCATTTCCTAGTTCCCTTGAGGGTGGAATTGTAAGCTCCTCAGAGACCAAGCTGCCTGATGTGGGCGGAGTCCTGGTTTGGAGGAACCAATCAGCTCCTGTCTAGTAATCCTCTTTGTCTTTGTGTATTTTAGTCCATGGCCGGGAGATGAGGAAAACCTCCGAGGATTGTCTCACTTTGTCTCCAGACTGGAAAGTAGAAGATGAGGACATCACACAGTATAGTCCAGGAGAAAAACCCGGCTCCCTCCAATGTCCATCCGGCACCACCCAGTGTAGATGGACCATCGGATTCCTCATATCCTGAGGAACCTCAGACTGTGCGGGACCGGGCCGGCCTTCCAACAGGGAAGAGCTTCTCCTGTACTGAGTGCGGGAAGGGTTTTTCCATTTTAAATCCCATCTTAAAGTGCATAAAAGATATCACACGGGGGAAAAACCATATTCCTTTCCAGGGTGCTGGAAATGTTTTTCACAGAAGTCCAATCTTTACACACATCAGAGATCTCACACAGGGGAAAAGCCGTATTCCTGTGCTGAGTGTGGGAAATGTTTTTCCGTGAAATCCAATCTTTACACACATCAGAGCTTGCACATGGGGAGAAGCTATATTCCTGTCCAGAGTGCGGGAAATGTTTTTCACAAAAATCAGATCTTGTTACACATCAAAGGTTCCACATGGGGAAAAGCCACATTCCTGTCCTGCGTGCGGGAAATGTTTTTTCAGTGAAGTAAAATCTTTTCCATATATCAGAGATCTCACACGGGGGAGAAGCCACTTTCCTGTCCTGAGTGAGGGAAATGTTCCTCACTGAAGTCCTGTCTCCCTGTACATCAGGGGTCCCACACCACCCTGGAGGTGTATTAGTGCCTTGAGTGCGGGAAATGTCTTCTAGATGAATGTTGCTGGACATCCCAGCTCTCATGTGGGGAAGAAGCACACCCTGATATACACCTCAGATATACTCCATGGCTGATCTTCATCATGGAAGAAACAGTTCATAAGGAGATCAGAGGTCCCCAAAGACATGGATGAAGTGTGGGACCGGGTTGGCCATTGATGGCAGAAGAATAAAAATGGAGTCATTACCTTTCATTGGCTGAGTACATTTTTTTAAACATTCTTTATTGAGTTTTCTAAAGAGACATACAAAGAAACATTGGGGTTTATTTACTAAAGCTGGAGAGTCCAAAATCAGACTCCCTCTGCATAGAAACCAATCAGCTTCCAGGTTTCATTGCCAAAGCTTCATTGAACAAGCTGAGGTTAGAAGCTGATTGGTTTCTATGCAGAAGGGAGTCTGATTTTGGACTCTCCAGATTTAGTAAATAAACCCCACTATGTCTGGGGTGAAAGAGGAGACGAGTACCTCATACTTCTTGCCATGACTTCTGAATAAAAGATAAATCACAGTAACCAATGAAATAATTAGAATCTCTCCAATAAAGAAAGAGGAAGGAATCTTCTGGCAGGAACTGACCTGGAGGTGTGACCGGGTGTGATACCTGATCAGAAAACATGGATGGACTCTCCTGAGACTTTGTTCCCAACTCCAATAAGTGAGAGGAGCAGAATGTCATAATGTTCCTAGATGTCATGATAAAGCCAAGGAAGTAAGGTTCGGCCATGAGTGCGCACAGACACATCAGGAGAGCAAAAGAATGACAACGTCATGAACCAGAAAACCAAGGTATACACGGCCAGATGGGGAGCAAGTAACACCTGTTATGTATGCGTGTCCTCAATGCGTGTTCTATATGTACATTTTGTGGTGGGAGATTTCACAAACACTTGGAGGTTTTTTAATAAACGTTGTTGAATGAATATGACATGCATTTCCCCAGCTGTGATGAATGCTGGTCGTATTTTATTTCATATGGTGTGACTTCCAATGAGCATCAGCTCCATCTAGTGACAATAATGTGGCACTGCTGTAATATTTCTACAATGCAAACACTTGATGAAAATACACTTTTGCATTTTTTGATGCCTTCCTGGGCTGCTGAAGCACAACATAATGGAAAGGAGGTGGGCTGAATGTCTCTGTTTGGGGCTCGGGCTCTGTTCACCTAGAGGGTATATCTGCTACCTCTGGGCACTTTTCCTCCAATTCTTGTGTGATTATTGAGAAATCTGCATTTGCTTGGTTGAGGGACAGCATAGCTCCTGGGACTGGTGCCTGTTGGACCATTTAGGTCACAAAGGCAGGTGTTCCCTTTCTCCTCTTCTTATTATAGTGGGGGAATTGAGGGAGGAAGCAACAGAGGCAGATTACTCCTGCCCCAAGGATTCTTGCCAGCAACCAACATGGATGCTTAAGCCCAGAGCTGTGTGGTCTGGAGGGAAAGTTGCAGCACCAACCAGCCTCACCGGCACTTCACAACCTGCTCACCCGCCGCTCTCACCTCTGGACAACTGACATCGATGTCACGGAAGAGGAAGAAAGTGCGCTGGCCTCTGAAGTTCATGGCATTCTTCCTCCATCCAGCACTTCAGAGAGAACACAACCAAGATGGCGCTGCTGCCTCAGCCTCCTACGATTCGGCTTCCTGCTCAGACCTCCCAGGTGCCACACAGGGAGACCTCAAGGTAGCAGTTGTACCGCTTTCTCCTGATCGTGCTCCTGCACACAGCCCAGAGTCCTGTGAAGGCCCGCATGTGGATAGATTTACCACCATTACTTCTTACAGAGGAGAGCCATGGGAATAACCCCTCACATCCCCACCCAATCCTCCGTAGCAGCCTTTCCCACTACAGGGCAGTCAGTACTGGGCCCCACCATGAAGGAGATGCTTCTCCCCTTACAATCATTCTTGCTAGCTGACTTCCCCACTCTTTTTTTATGAATTTTCATCTGATCTGAATACCATGGGAGATAGGGCACAATATGTGGAGAACACAATGGGCCAATGCACTGTGACCATTAATGACTTAGTGGATGCATATGAAGAAATGAAAGAGGATCACATGTGGATAAAAGCTAAACTTGCAGACCTTGAAGACAGGTCCCAGCTATGCTGACAACCTGATGTCTGCCATTCCACCAGAGGTCTCCCCCACAGAACTTTCAATCATCCATCTACCACATCCCTAAAGAAGCCCATTTGGCAGATACAATAATCAAAATCATGCTAATGCTGGCTCATTGTATCCAGATTATTATTAGAACAATTATTCTCTGCAACTAGATCTCTGCGATCACTACCTGCTCCCTTTGACGATCTTTAAATATTCATGGATCTCTCCAAACATTCTCTCCAACTCTGACGACAGCTGAATTCAGTTACAAAAGCACTATAAAACCACAAGATTCCCTACAAATGGTGCTACTGGCTACCCTCCTTGTTACCCACAACAGTGCTTCACATATTATTACTTCTCTGAACAGCGGCATGAAAATCCTTCATACCTGGAGAATTATCCCAGACCCACCCCAGGAGACCAGCACTCCAGTTACCTCACCTGCTCCATCACACTGCTGGTGCCCCACTTTGGGAAGATACGGAAACCACCCATGACCCCTGGGCCTACTCAGAGGCCTCTTCATTTGCCAAGAAGACTTCTCTCCGGTTCTACGCTCATTTCCATTGCCTCAGCAACTTTTTTTCCCCAATCAGTCTGTAGCATCACAGGCGTATTAGTCAGAGACCCTGCTACTTTGTTCTTTCAACCTTATGGCCTTTTATTTCAGACTGAAGTCTCATTGCCGTGTGCTAGATTCCAGACTTTCTACTTGGTCAGAGAAAGCCGTGTGCAAGACATACTCCACTTTCACTGGTGCCTTCCTCTACCAGAACGTGTACACTGTGAGTGCCTTGAGAACCCGTCCTTTTCCCCATATCTTATGCTATATGCCTCTCTCAGTCTATTAGTGCAAGGGGATTCAACCATCCTGCTAAACGCAACTCCCTATAGAAGTCTGCACAATCCCACCACTGTGATATGATATATTATGTGTGCCAGAGACACAGCCATGCCATATTGCCAAAACAAGCAATTCCTCCAAATCTATGCATGCTTCACAGCCAAAATGAGGGAGGTCATGATTGCCATTAAGGACACAGTCTGCTTCCAGCTCCACCATCAAATTGCAGACCCCAATGGGCCCTTTCTTATCCTGATCTGCACCATCAACAAGGTTCATTATAACCTGATGGACATATATGTTCCCAAAATGCCACCAATTGCCAGGACCCTTCGTAAAGACAGAAATGTGCAACAGGGCCATCTGCTCCTCTGTGGTGACTTTACATTGGTCCATGACCACCAAATGGATTCCACCTCTGCCACCAGAGCCCATGACTCATCTGTAAAGACCTTCCTACACACACATGATCTGTTTGATGCATCAAAGTTATCACACCAGTGAGGTGACTACACATATTTTTCTTCTTGCCACAATTATTACTTTAGGATCGATCTCTTTCTTCTTGATAAATGGTTACAGAGATCCATACCATAATGTGTTCAGACCACACACCAATCAGCATCACTCTCTCAGACTCTCCCTCACAACCAAACACCTATGTTTGGTGATCTAACAACTACATATTACAATATCCTGACTATGCAGCAGCACTCTCCAAGCATCTTTCTGAGTTTTTTGTTCATAATGAAGGCTCGGTCTCTGACTCCTTTGTGGTATGGAACCTGCACAAAACATTTATCAGAGGAATATTGATCCAATTAGGATCTTGTAAGAGGTGGGGGATGCAGAATAAACTACCTATTGCTATCAAAGACCTCGAAAATCACAATAAATCCCAGCCCACCAGAATACTTAAAACCAAACTAGCAGCAATGCGCCAGGAACTTCGATCCCTCCTTTTAGAATCCTTCGAAGGCATGCAAAGCAAACTACAAGCCATCTCTTACTGGACTTCTAACAACGCAGGGAAAGCCATAGCTCGCCAAATCAAAGGCCATAGAACTAAGTCAAAAATAGAATTTTTATATCACCCCACTTCTAAAGAAAAAATGCAGAACCCTCAAAGCATCACAGATGCCTTCAGCTCCTATTACAGCTCCTTATATAACATCAGACTTGACGATTCAACACACCAACCCTCCCTAGCCGAAATCAACATCTTTATTGAACAAATGAAACTCCCAACCGTATTGGAAGTCCTAAAATCAGCAGTACTGTTTTTATATGATTTGCAGTGTGTTGTACGTTTCATGGCTTGTTTTGCTTAAATATGTATTCCAGCATGTTACCTATTGATTTTAATTCCCCATCCTGATCCAATGTGAATGTGGCCATTGAACTGTCAATCACCCGTGTGCCGCCTTTTTTGCCCATAAATTCCATTTCCAATATGGCACACCATGCCCGAAGAGGGAGGAGCAAATGCTCCGTAATGCATCACCAATATTGCTCGTCACATCCGGTCATGATGTCACTTCCACCCAACGGCTGCGTTCTACACTGATCCGGAAGCCCTGGGAGTCACTGGAGTGGCCTGACAGCAGGACCTGTCTCTTCCATCTGGTGGACGGGGGACCATGATTGATGACATCCACCTGTCCAGAACTACATACCTGTATATATTAACTTCCTTTGTGAGTGCATCTACTCTGAATTATAAAACGTATGATTGTGATTAGAGATGAGCGAATCGAAGTAGCCGAAGTGGAATTCGAGAGTCGAATATCGGAAAATTTCGATTTGCGCCGAATCCGAAAAATAGCCTAATTCGGACGCGCGAATCGAAATTTTTCCGAAAATGGCGGCTGACATGTGCGGCGACGGGAGCGGGGATGTCTGGGAAGGCGCGCAGACAAGGCGCGCTGACCCATAATGCATTCCTCAACGACATGTGATCGCATCAGCCAATCAGCAGCCAGCCAGCTAGCACTGTGTAATGGTCGAGCTAATAAATGGCGGCCATTTTGGAATTCTTCAATTACAGGCAGACGCTCTGTATTAGGGACAGGGACAGAGTTAGGGCCACAGAAACGATACTTGGGGACAGAGAAACGATACTTAGGGACAGAGAACTATTACTCAGGGACACAGAATTGTTAATTAGGGCCACAGAATCGTTACTTAGGGACAAAGAAACGCTAGTTAGGGCCACAGAATTCATACTCAGGGACAGACAGAATTGTTACTGAGTGCCAGAGAATTGTTACTTAGGGCCACAGAAACGTTATTAGGGCCACAGAATTGTTACTCAGGGACAGACAGAATTGTTTACTGAGTGCCAGAGAATTGTTACACTTAGGGCCACAGAAACGTTATTAGGGCCACAGAATTGTTACTCAGAGACAGACAGAATTGTTACTGAGTGCCAGAGAATTGTTACTTAGGGCCACAGAAACGTTATTAGGGCCACAGAATTGTTACTCAGGGACAGACAGAATTGTTACTGAGTGCCAGAGAATTGTTACTTAGGGCCACAGAAACTTTAGTTAGGGCCACAGAATTGTTACTCAGGGACAGACACAGAATTGTTACTGAGGGCCACAGAACTGTTACTTAGGGCCACAGAATTGTTACTCGCACAGACACAGAATTGTTACTCCGCACAGACACAGAACTGTTACTGAGGGCCACAGAACCGTTACTTAGGGGCCACACACAGAATTGTTACTCGCACAGACACAGAATTGTTACTCGCACAGACACAGAATTGTTACTCAGGGGACACAGAACTGTTACTGAGGGCCACAGAACTGTTACTTAGGGCCACAGAATTGTTACTCGCACAGACACAGAATTGTTACTCGCACAGACACAGAATTGTTTACTCAGGGACACAGAACTGTTACTGAGGGCCACAGAACTGTTACTTTTATTTTATTTTTTAGGGCCACAGAATTGTTTACTCGCAC